CCTTTTGCTTATGGTTTTTCTTTGTTTGTAGGTTCAAATTTTTTTCTGTGATTTTTTTTCATCAAGTGCATTTTTGTCTTAGTGCAAAGGTGTTAGACGAAATGCTGTTTAAATCATAGAGCGTCTTTAATCTGTGAAGTTGAAATTTTACAGCAAAGGCAGTTGCATGGTGAATCTCAGACAGTGGCCATTAATTTCCCCTCCCACCCCGCGATGTGCAGCCACTGTTGTTGCAGACATAGAGCCCACGTCACAAGTGGATTGAGGGTCTGAGGAGGTAACGTTCTCCCCGCCTCCCCTTCCCCATGTTTTGTTGGTGTCTGTTTTGTTTGCAGCCCTGTACTTAGTACTGTAGTTGAATGAAGTATGGGATCTGCTTTCAAGGAGCCCAATTAGAGTGGGAAAAAACAGAAAAAGGAGCAAAAGCTTCTATTATAGAGATGAATAAAATGCCACAAGGAACACAGAGAAAGGATCCACCTGGGGGAGTCTGCGATGAGCTCGCTGTGCCCTTCATTACTGTGTTGTGTATTTAGGGCTCTCTCCCCGACACACACTCGCTTCCTCTTTCAGCCTCCTACAGTCCACTTCCATTCAGTCCCACACTTCACAAAAACCGTCCATCTGTCAACAGCCAGGAACCTGGCTGGAGCTCCCTTTTTGACCCACTTGTAGGTCGTTTACTTTTCTTTTGAAATGTCTTCGTTTGTATATGTAGCAGTGCCCGGGTCCTTCTGCTTCTCCATGTTTGTTCGTTAACTCCCTTTAGGACAAGAAGCTTCGTGCCAGGAACCTCGTTTATTCGCTCCTTGTTCTTTGCTCAGTTGCCTTAGTTCCTTCTGCTGACTGCACAAGGCCATTGGTCTGATGCAGCAGAATAGAGAGTCCAGAAAACACCCACACGTATAGGGATAGCTGATGTTTTTTTCAATTATTTAAATTTTATTTATTTTTAAAATTATTGTGGTCATAATGGTTTATAACATTGCATAATTTCAAGTGTACATTATTTTTTATCATTTTCTCTGTAGATTGCATTGTATTCACACACAATAGTCTGATTTTTATCCATCACCATACATATGTGCCTCTTTACCCCTTTTGCCCACCCCTCAAACCCCTTGTCTGGTGACCACTGATCTGTTCTCTTTATCCCTGTGTTCATCTTCCACACATGAGTGAAATCATACAGTGTTTGTCTTTCTCTGTCTGGCTTATTTCACTTAACATAATACCCTCAAGGTCCATCCATGTTGTTGCAAATGGGACAATTTTGTCTTTTTTTATGGCGGAGTAGTAAGTATTCCATTGTATGTATGTACCATATCTTCTTTATCCAATCATCAGTTGATGGGCACTTGGGTTGCTTCCATGTCTTGGCTATTGTGAATAATGCTGCGATGAACATAGGGGTGCATGAGTCTCTTTGTATTGTTGATTTCAAGTTCTTTGGATAAATACCCAATAGTGGGATGGCTGGATTGTATGGCATTTCATTTTTAATTTTTTGAGAAATCTGCAGAGAGGCTGCACCAGTTTGCATTCCCATCAGCAGTGTATGAGGGTTCCCTTTTCTCCACATCCCCTCCAATGTTTATTTTTTGTCATGTTAATTATAGCCATTCTGACAGGTGTAAGGTGATATCTCACTGTATTTTGATTTGCATTTCCCTAATAATTGGTGATGTTGAACATCTTTTCATGTGCCTGTTGGCCATTTGTATATCTTCTTTGGAAAAACGTCTGTTCGTAAGGGATAGCTGAGTTTTCGCAAAGGTGCAAAAGTCTAACAAACGGTGCTGGAATAATTGGACATCCAGATGGAAAATTAAAAATTGATCCATATTTCTATGCAAAAATGAACTCAAAATAGATTATAGTCCTAAACATAAAACCCCAAACTTTATAACTTCTAGAAGAAAACAAAGGGGAAAATGTTCAGCCTTGAGTTAGGCAAAGATTTAGATTAGATACAACCCCAAAAGCACAATCTGTAGAAGAAAAACTTGATGAATTGGACTTCATCAAAATTTAAAACATCTGCTCTTTGAAATATACTGTTTAGAGAAAAAAAAGACAAGTCGTAGAGTGACAGAAAATATTTGCAAAACATTTCTAATAAAGGACAGGCATTCAGAATATATAAAGAAGTCTCAAAACACAATAGTAAGAAAATTCATCTGCTCATTTAAAAAATGAGAAGCTGTTCAACATCAATCTTTAGGAAAATGGAAATTAAAACCATAATGAGGTACCACCACATATCTGTTAGAATGGCTAAAATTAAAAATCCTGCACCATGTGCTGCTGAGGATGTGGAGGAACTGGAACTCTCATACTCTGCTGGAGGAAATGTAAAACGGTACAGCTACTTTGGAAAATAGTTGGGCAGTTCTTAAACAGTCAAAAGTATGTACTTACCACTCCTAGTTATTTACCAACAGAGAAGAAAGCATAAATCCACATGAAGCCTTCTACATGAATGTTCATGGTAGCTTTATCTGTAATAGCCCAAAGCTGGAAATAATTCACATGCCCATCAACAGGTGAATGGATAAATGATTATCTATACAATGAAATATTGCTCAGCAATACAAAGGAATTAGCTGTTGATAGACACAACATGGACAAATCTCAATTATGCTGAGTGAAAGTAGACCAAAAGTGTATTGCCTGCTTTCGTTTATATAAAATTCTAGAAAATGCAAAGTAAGCTACAGAAATCTATAGACAGCGGTTCAGTGGGGGTGGGGGTTGGTGAGGAGGGGCTTGGAGGGATCTCAGGGGCGTGAAGAAACAGGTGCCGGATGTGCTCGCTGTCTTGATGTGGTTCTGGTTTGACATGTGTACAGTCTGCCGAAACTTACCAAATTGTACACTTCAAATTTGTGCAATTGATGGCATGTTCATTACATCTCAGTTTTAAAAAGTAATACTACGTTCATACATGCTCTCTAACAGACCATGCACACCTTCTCTTTCCTCAAAGCTCTGTCTTCTCGTTTCTCACTTTTGGCTTATGACTTTTATTCCAATTTCACTGAGAAAATAAAAGCAATCAGAACAGAACTTTTCACAGGTTCACAACCTCTCTGACCTATCACCTCCCTGTGTTCAGTGTGCTCCAAGCAGCCTCCCTTTTCCCACAACAGGTCAAACCTCAGGGCCTTTGGACTTGCCATTTGCCATGTGCTAGTGTTCTTCATCCAAGCTCTCTCCCACTCCTCATTCTGTGCTGAAGTGTCATTCGTAGTGAAGCTTACCTAAAATTGCAGCTACTGGGGCATTCCCAGTAGCTTCTTCTCTGCCTTATTTTGCTCATTCATATTTATTAACATACTACACGGTTTACCTATCTTGTTTATATTTGTTCTATTTGCATGTTTTCCCTCACTTGAATGTAAGCTCCAGAGATTTTTTTTTTTTTTTTTCAACTATTTGGAGATTACTTCTGTGTTCCAGAACAGTCCTTGGGACATATTCAACATTCAATAAATATTGTTGAGTAAGTAAATGAATGAGATGGACTGAATATAATGTGTATATGGTTAAAATGAAACCTGAAAGCCCTGTCGTTCCCCAGAGGTAGCCCTGTCCATAGTTTAGTGCGTTCCTCCCAACTGCTCTGCAGAAACGCACATTCACAGCTCCTTCTGTCTCAGGACGGGTGCTGCTCCCCAGACCGATCTACAGGGTGCTTGCTTTCATTTTGTAGTTCATGAACACTTTTTTATGTTAGTACATAAGTAACTACCCCATTTTAATGTTCTCGCTGTATTGTATTCCATTGTGTGGATAAGACTATGATTTTTTAAGTTTTCTGAAAGACGGCTAACCCATTTTATTATATGCTATAGTAAACACTTCTGTCCGTATTACTTTCCATACTCAGGCTAGTATTTCTGTAGGATAAACCCCTAGAAGTAAGATTGCAAAGTCAACAAAAATATTTAAAGTGCCACTTAGCCCCCAAATGTACTAGTTAACACTCCTCTCTCATCAGTGTATGAGATTCCTTCTTTTCCCGTATGGTTATCTACATTAAATAGTGACTGTTTTCAGTTGCTGTTAATTTGATAACGTGTGTGTCTCCATGTGGCTGGTAAGTTGTTGGGGTAGAGGAGGCGTGGCTGGGGCTGGATGCCTCCAGGAGGGACGCAGGGCTTGTCATCACTGGCCTCATTGGAAATACTTCCTTCGGGTTCTCCATCTTCTGTCTAGAGGTGAGCAAGAGGAGGTGGGTGTCACAGCCGCTTTGTTCTGTGTGGGTACTAAGGGCCGCTGCAGCCGCCAGCCAGGATACCCCTACACCAAGGTTCACACCTTGTGTGCTGCCTGGTCAGCACCCGCCAGTCTCTCCTACCTTGGACCCAAAGCCCTTGTATCAGAAGAGGAGGCTTATTTCCTGAGAGACCAAATCAGATTGTCTCAACTACCCTGTCTTACTTAGGAAAACAAGTGAAATAGACTCATCTATTAGTTGGAAACCACTCAGTGTCTAAACTCCCTAAGTTTTTTAAAGATCTTTTTAGGGCATTTAAAGATCTGCAGAGTGAGTTCACTCAGGGGATCGGTTGGGCAATGGGAACTGCGTGTGCGAAGGCGCCCAGGCCGGAATGTCTTGGACAAGCTGCCAGGGGCACGTGCAGGATGAACGAGGCGTCCAGGAAGGCAGGGGCTTTCGGGGAGGCTCGGGCTGCCTGTACTGACCAGCCCGCATGACTCTAACGGCTTCCTACCTAGGAGGGCTCGTGTCACCTCGTCCCTAAGCTTCATGTAACCAGAGCAAGGGAAATGGGAGTCCTTTGTGATTTCGCCGCTCACATTCGGCAGTGGGAAATTGATCAAAAGGTCCTTTCCTAAGAGAGACTCTCCCGCGTGCAGCTCTAAACTACCAGTTAGTAGGAAAAATGGGTGCGGAGACAGACTGCGCAGGCGCATTGCCTCCCGGACCTGCGCCGGCGACAGTTGTCTCAGCCCGAGGCGTGTGCGTGTGCGCTTGCGCGGAGCCAGGGGGCGGGGCCCTTGCGCGTCCCGGTTGCCTGGATACCACTGTGGAACAATAGCAGCGGCGTGAGCTCCTGGGCAGTTGGGTCTGGGCTAGAACGGGCGGTTGGTCCTCATTCTCCGCGGAGCCCCGAGGAGGAACAGGTGGGAGCCCCCGCCGGCCGCCTGGGCCTCGCGAAGCCGGCGTCTCGGCCGGCCCCGAAACCTAGAACTCCGGCCTGGCCCCGGTCCCCGGGATCCTACAAACTCGGGACCCCGGCCCGGCCCCAGACCACGGCCCCCAGTCCGGCCCCAAACTCCGACCCACAGGCCGCCTTCAAATCCGGGATCCTGAAACCCGGATCCCGGCCTGGCTCCAAACCTGGGGGAGGGCGTGAGTCCCGGCGCCTGAGCCCCGCGGCCGTCGCGGCTCCCCCCCCGCCCCCGCCCCGGACTCTAGAGGCTGACCCATCCGCCCCCCTCTGGCACACCTTGATTCTTCCCAGCCTGGTCGCGGTCTGCGAAGAGCGATGCCGCTTCCCGATTCCATGTTCTGCGCGCAGCAGATCCACATTCCCCCAGAGCTGCCGGACATCCTGAAGCAGTTCACCAAGGCTGCGATCCGCACCCAGCCCGCCGACGTGCTGCAGTGGTCCGCGGGGTAAGCGCCTGGCCGTGCCTCGTGAATCCTCTCTCCTGGAGCAGTGGTCCAACGCTCAGGACACCTAGAGTCCTGCAAAACTTTCTCTTTAGCTTTTGTGGTCTATATCTAAGTATCTATCCAGGAAGCATCATGGTTTATTGACAGTGAGACCAGAAATTAACCGCAAAATGCTCAAGTCTACAAAGTAATGACAACTCTGTTGTTGGAAAGAGGTGTTTATGCCGGATAGCCTAAAACTTATAGGCGGTTGCATTGGGTAAAAAGTTTCTGCATTTTGTTATAAAATCAAACTATTAGTCCCTTTATTTTATTTGTGAAATGATTTTTACAAGGAGGAATCTTATGGCTATGTTTCTCATTCTCAGAAAACCCTCTCATGGTTGAGTTTACTGGAAGCAGAAGACTGAGGTCGTACTGGGGTGATCATCTCAAGGCTGCTATAAGATTAAACTCTGCCCAGCTTAGTTAAGAGCAAATGTGAGCCTTCACAGTGTCTTGCAGCAAACATTCTAACCATTTCCAGGAACAGACGTTCTTAATTTTAAAGTTATAAGTCAACAGAACCTAGGAGCATTAAGATAAACCCTTTTGATTTGATTTGATTTTACAGGAAAACTCTTTGCGCTTTTTCGCTAAACAGACTTAGAAGCTCAATTTTGTGATCACAAGAATCAGTATAAGCATAAATTTAACGTACCTTTTTTAGTAACCTTCATGTCACATTCCTCTGACGCCCTCTAAACTGTATATCCAAGGTGCGTTCGTTTCCTCTGACTGCTGTAACAAATAACCACAAACCCATGGCTGAAAACAACAGCCGTTTATTCTCTTACAGTTCTAGAGGCCAAACAGTCCAAAACCAGTTTCACCAGGCTAGTCAAGATGTTGACAGGGCCTTGCTCTCTCCAGAGGCTCCACGGAGAATCCTTGCTGTTTCCAGCTTCGGGAGCTGCATTCTGTGACTCTGGCTCATGGCCCCTTCCTCCATCTTTAAAGCCAGTAGTGTGGCATCTCCCTCTGCCTCTCTCTTCTAGGGACACTTGTGATGGTATTTAGGATGTGTCCAGATAACCCGGGATAGATTTCCCATCTCAAAATCCTCATATCTGCAGAGTCCCTGTTACCATGTAAAGTAAGATGCACAGGTTCCAGGATGAGGACCTGAGTATCTCTGGGGCGGTTATTGAACCTACCACACAAGGTTACTTGTTAATCCAGCACTTTACCTTCTGACAAACACTTCTGTCAGTTGCTTCTGCAAGATTCTCTCAAAGTTCCTGCCAAAAAAATCATGCCCTCTGGTTTTAACCATTCTTCAAGCCTAAATAAAAGATAGTAGGACTCATAAGAGTTTATTTGCACTTTACAAAATATTCCAAGATTTAGTCATATTTTTTGTTGGAACAGTCAATTATATTTGGTAACACTTCAGAGACAACTATTTTAAGCTTCACTTTAATTTGAAAGGGTTAACTGAGAATTTCTGAATGTTCTATGCAACTAATTTCTCTCAAGAACAGTTTTGGAGTTCAGGAGCAAAATCAAGCATTAGTCATTAAGCGATGTCTGTGTAATGGGCTTGCGTGTGCCCCAGCTCTCAGAACAGAGTCTGTTAGGAAGAGATGTTGTTCAGAAGTGGGTGAATTGGCTTTTGAAAGATTTCATAGGCAGAGATTGGGGTTAAGACAAGGCGAGAGTATTCCAGGAAGAGGGGACAGCATACAACAAAGGGGCAGAGACAAGAAGAAGAGTCCTGAGAACAGAGCAGAAAACCAGGCTGCATATGGGAGGAACTCTGCTGTGGGAGACTCGAGGAGGCACTCAGGGTAGGATTCTTTTCAAATGAGGTTTTTAGGTGGCGAAGGTGAGTCAGCCTTCCTCCACAGCCTGTGTACTCTGCTGTGATGCAACAGCTTGTCGGCCGTGCTTTATGATGTCATCAAGCACTTATGCATCTCGCAGCGTGGTGGAGGCGAGGATTGGCCGGGTACTAAGGCTGCTTTGCTCCCATGTGCCTTCCAGGGAACTCACAGAGTATAACACAAGGTGGTCTTGCCCTGAACGCAGGCTTTCTCACCCTCGGCACTAGTGACACTGGACGGAACAGTTCTTTGGGGGATGTGTCAGAGCGGAGGGTGAAGAGAAGCTGGGGGTGTCCTGGCATTGTAGGATCCTGAGCAGCATCCTGGCCTGTACCCGCTAGATGCCAGTAGCACCATCCACACCCTGTTGTGACAACCAAAAATGTCTCCAGAAATTGCCGGTGCCTTCTTGGGGAGGGGGCAGGACCAAAACTGCCCGCTGTTCAGAACCACTACTCTAGAGGCTGTGTCAGCCTTGGTGATGGGCTTGATCAGTTGTGAGGAATACATAAAGTCCACAAAAGAGATGAAAACCCAATCAGGAACAGTGTGGCAAACCTCGGCACCATCCTTCAGCCTGACACTGTGGATCTTCAGGGCCGCCTGTTCCAACTCCCGCTGCCTTCACGAAGACTTTCCCTCACACTGTTAACAAAACATGACTGGAGTTGTCTTAAAAGCCTGAAAACAAAGTTGAATTTGAGGAGTAGGGAGAGAAAAAAGGGATAAGATATAAAATTTAGCGTATCAAATATCTATTTATCTACGTTTTGTTACATATTCAGAGATGTTTCTAAGCACTCGTATCTTTTGAATTATCACCCATGCCCTGATGGGTGGGTTAGTGTACATGTTCCGGGATATGTCATTTCTGTTCATGGTGTTAGTTGTTAGAGCAACAAATGATGTGGCTTCAGCAGCCAGTCACCTATGACACGCGGTGCCCCAGGGGAGTGAGTTTCACAGAAAACCCTGCCTCACACCCCCTCCCACTCCCCACCCACTCCTGACTGTTGCCCTGAAGTGTTTCCATGCCCCCGCTCATCCCCAATGTAAGCAGCAATATCTGTGTCCCAGAAAGGAACAATCAAGGGAAAAAAAATACTAAAAAGATACCAGACAGGAAAAGTGAGGGGTCGGGGGTCGGTGGCGTCTGACTTAGCCCAGCGAGCAGAGCTGTCTCTTCCCAGTGGAGCACACGAGGGCTCCCCTGGTCCGGGCGCCTTAGAGTTGAAAGGCAGAGATGGTTAAGTCAAGCCCTTGAAAAGGCAGCAAGGCCAAGCAAAGGTGAGTCCAGGCCCCAGCTGTCAAGATGGGGTGACTGGACCATGACACTGCGCTTGGATCACTGCAGGGCCCAGAATCTGCCCTCTGGCCATGTTTCAGGACCGCTCAGGTGTTAGCGTGATGAGAATAGCAGTGTTTTGAGAGCCCCTGCCGAGCGCCATGCTAAGCCCTCTGCAGGTATCCCGCTTGTGCTCCCAGGAGTCCCAAGACTGTCATTATCCTTGCTTCACAGTCAGAGAAACTGAGGCACACAGGGAAACTCAGGTCAGGGAGCTACGTGGAGGAGCCAGGACTGAAGCCCACCCATGGACTCCAGAGCTCTCTTCCTTAAACACATCACGCTGGGTCATTTAAGAAACCTCGTTACTTAAGGTGCTTTTTGTGTATGATGAGCCTTAGAGATGTCTGTTGTTGCTGTTGTTAGGTATTTTTCAGCTTTGGCAAGAGGAGATCCACTTCCTGTAAAGGACCGAATCGAAATGCCCGTGGCCACTCAGAAAACAGACACAGGCCTGACTCAAGGACTCCTGAAAGTTTTGCACAAGCAGGTAGAGGAGAGTCTCCGTGATCAGTCAGCTTAGCTTGAGATGAAGCGCGGCCTGCCAGTTACCCCGTGACGGGAACCACACCACCCACCTTGCAAATCCACTTTCCCTGCGATAAACCTTCCAGGGTCACTCAAAGAAGGAATCTGTTGTGTTCCCTGGCCTTTTTCTAGTTTAAAGAACCCCAAAGAGCTATTCATGATTAGATTGTAGGAAATGAACTCTAATTTCTTTTAAATACAGTACCAAATTAAGACGCTAGATGCTGCTGGACTAAAAATTCTGAAAACAGGAAATTCTAGAGATGGGGGTTGCAAGTCTCTTCTTGAAATACGTGTTTATAAAAATTATGTACACACTAAAGTGGTGATCTGCTGCCTTGTTAATCTGAAAGGTGATTGCCCTTGGCGTCTGGTTTCCAGCCCTCCAGAGCACGTGAGCATCCGCATTCATAATGACTGGGTGGTCTTGCTAAAAACGACATCAACGGTATAACCTTGATTTTTAAAGTGACTCGTCCCCACTATACCTTTCAAAGTACTGTGCTTTGGTGCAAGATACATTCACTTCTGAGAATAAGACTTTTCCATGACTTTCTGCCTTCAGGGAAAATGAATAACCACCAAAAGGAATAGTTTGGAAAAAGACATGCTAAAATGCTCAAAGCTTTTTCACACAGAGTCCTACTAGCAGATTGCAGAAGTTAGCAATTTTCATTTGTTTACCATAGTAGAAAGAATACATTTATTTTCAGTTTTAAGATTTCTCCTATTTAACTATTAACATGTTCTGGGGTTGGATTTTAAATGTTTTTATTTTGTTCTCTGAAGTTTATTGTGAAGTATTTCACACAGACAAGAGAGAATCATATACCCAATATCTGAAGGCCCTTTTTATTAAGTCATAACATAATGCCATAATTGCTTCACAGTCCTTTTGTCTTTTAAGAAGCAAATTGTTGCCAGTATCTAGCTCACTGCCCGCTCCCCGCCCGAGTGTCCCTCCCACCCCGCTCATTCCCACCCTCCCTCCCCAGAGCTAACCGAATCGCGAATTCCAAGCTCGTCCTTCTCTGAGTGGGGTGGAGTGTGTTTGAGTATTCACAAGCCTTATATTATTTCTCGAGTTTTTTAAACTTATATAAATTGTGTCGTACCGTGTTTTCTAAACAGTGTGGCCACAAGCAATATGTGGACTTGGCAGATCTTGAGCAGAAATGGAAGAATTTGTGCCTGCCGGTAGAAAAATTCAGAGCTCTCTTACAGTTGGATCCTTGTGGAAAGAACATGGAGTGGATGAAGTTTTTAGCGCTTGGATGTAGCATGCTTGGTGGGGTAGGTACCTTTAAACAGTGTATTCATAATTCTGTGTAATCATAGGCCTGGCTCAAAAACGACTTAGGTGTTTCAGTAACTGAAGGAAACACTTTCATTACTTTAGTAACTTTGTCTTAGAAAGGGAATTCTTTTTAGATGCCTGTTGTATTTTTAGGCTTATGGTTATTTTACTTTACAGAAGTTAAAGACCTATGGATACCTCAATTTAGAAGATATTAACAGTAGATGAAATATATAGATACTATTAAAATGTATTTCGGTTTTAGAAGAGAAGGCATCCGTGACTTTTTATTCAACTACACATGATTTGTGGTACTGACAATATCTGTTTTCCTCATCTGTGGAAAGAGGCATGGAATTAGCTTATGCTTTAGTTAAAATCTATTATTGGGCACTGAGAGATTCAGGGCAACTTTGCCGGTGTTAAAGTACAACCCAGACGACTCAGGAATGGAGATGCAGATGACCCTCCAGTGCGTGAGGTGAGGGCGTTTGTGAACCAGAGGTCGGAGGTTGAGAGGTCAGAGGTTGAGAGGTGGGGTGTGGTGGGGAGGCCCTGGGAGGACGTGGTCAGGACTTCCTTCTCCAGCGCCATGGCTCTGTGAGGCCCGGGGGTGAGGGAAGGAGGGCTGCATTGAAGCTCATGAAGAGGGGTTGAGCAGAGAGAACCAGCCCCCTTGACTGCAGAGATGAGATTTTTTTTTACCCCCTCCCTTCAGTCTTTGGAGCCCAGAGCACATAACTGGATAACTCGTGACCCTCACTGCATGGCGCACCCTCATCTCGGGCCGGTGCATGAGCTCCTTTAATTGCTTTCTAATTTTTAAAAATTACTTTATGTGATAAACACCCATGAACTACCACCCTGCACGATCAGTAACTGACAGCAACCTGCGACTCCCTGTCTTCTCTCCCGCCGCCCCCGCCTCCCCCGCCGTGAGCATCAGCCGCCCTGAATCTCCTGCTTCTCTTCGATCGCGTATATACCCCAGGAAATACAGTATTTAACTTTAGTTGGTTTTAACTTTATGAAAAGATAATTATGTTGTTAGTAATCATCTGAAACTTTTTTTATTCCCAATTAGAGTTCTATATTCGTTCATTTGCATCATTACATACCGCTACAGCTCGTTCATCTTCCCCGCTGTGTGATAGCAGCTGTGTGAAAGTACCGCAATTTTCTGGTTCTATCAGGAGCCCCAGTGAGAAGCTCTGAAATCCCATAAAGTCCGGCGTTAGGCTGGTCGTTGCGTAATGAGCAACATGTTTGTTATGTAACTGCCCAAAGCCAGTATTTCTGGTCAGCCCTGGGCTAATTGTGCGGAGGGCTGGACGCCCGCAGGCCCAGAAGCACACCCATGGCAGACACAGGCTCCCATGTCACCAGGGGAGGGTCTCTGGGGGTGTGCAAGTGGGAAGGACAAAGACAAATTGAACTATTGGAGAAACTTTTCTGTTGCTTTGTCTGTCTGGAACTCTGTGAAAGCAAGGTTTTAATCATATAAAATTATTGTCTACTATTTGAATTAATGGGTCTGCTTTGTGCCTCTCAACTTGGTTGTGAAATTTAGATTTTAATAATAGTGAGAAAGTAGGATATTTCATATTTTGGGCATCCGTCTTTGTAATTTCTGCCTCCCTAATCATGAAAATGAGGGCCTAGATGTGTATCCGGATGGAATCTGTTTGGGAAGGTGGAATCTCTCGTGCATGTGTGGCCTGTGACGCTAGATGGAGACATTTTGTTAAAGATGGTGCATCAGCCTTTTAAACTGAGTGCCGGGGAAGGGACGTGAGAAACAGCGCACATGCTTCTCTTTTCTTCCTGTGATGTGTTACTTATCCCCATCGGCCAGTGTGGGACCTTCTCTGTCCCCTACTTAGGCCACCTGGGCAGCAGCGTTGCGTTGGTCCCAACTCTCTCCCCGTGCCAGCGGCCCCCTTCCTGCTGTGGGAAGCCGTGGCCGTCCTCTGCTCTGGGCCGGCTGGATTCGGGGTTGTGGTTTTCCTGCTCTGCCCCGTCCAGTTCACTGCAGCCTGGGCCGGTTCACTGCCCGGCTCCAGGCTCCACCCGGCCTCCCTGCCCCACAAATGCAGAGCAGGAGTTCAAAGGGCACCCTCCATCTGCCCTGGTCTGCAGGTCAGGGCGGCCCTGGGGGAGCCGTGCCTTGTTGACACCACTGTGTGCCTGGGTAGCTTGAAGGTGCACTGGGAACATGATGCTGTGACCTCCAGGAGACGATCCCTGGGGTAGTCTGGCATCTTAGCATTTATCTTTATGCTAAAAAAATCCCCCAAAACCTTCAAAAAGGAGGAAACAAGTGAAGCGAGATGATGAGGAGTAGTTGTGATGGGTTACTGCCTGTTCATTCTTGTCCACAGAGGATTCTGTAGGATTGGAATCTAGTTGCTCTGCATCAGCACCACATGCTCTTCGTGCCAGTTCATCCCCGGCCCCTGCACGCCTTGTGGCAGATACTTTCTCCATGCTCTTAAATTTCTCCTCAAATTCACCCTAGTCAGATGGATTAAGTTTAAGGTCTCTACAAAGACTAGAACCGCCACGTGAATTTCTGAGTCATATGCGTCATTCATTCATTCATTCATCCCACCACACACCTTTGTCTGCACTGCTTTGTGCTGGGCCCTGTTCTGAGTTCTGAAGGTTCTGGAACAAACAGGCGAGGCACGTGCCCCTCTGTCCTTGGACTGACCTTCTGTTATGTCCGTGAAGCACTGAGTGCTGCTCTAGCCGTGCCTTGGAAGCTGCAGATGGGGTTAAGGGGCATGGTAGGCTGCCCGAGGCGGGGCGTGTATGGGCGTGTTAGTGCTTCCTGTCCTCTTCCCCAAGGCCGTGGTGTGCTCGCCGGGAGAAATGATCACATTTCATGTTGTGACCTTTATCGGTACGTTTCTGCAGCACCGTCAGTGGTCCTGAGCCTTAAAGCGGTGGATCAGAATTTTTTTCATCTTGTTTTTTAAGCATGGGATTTTTTTTTTTTTTTTGAGGAAGATTAGCCCTGAGCTAACATCCGCCACCAATCCTTCTCTTTTTGCTAAGGAAGACTGGCCCTGAGCTAACATCCGTGCCCATCTTCCTCTACTTTACACGTGGGACGCCTGCCACAGCATGGCTTGATGAGCTGTGCATAGGGCCATGCCTGGATCTGAGCCAGCGAACCCGGGACTGCCACAGTGGAGCACGAGAACGTAACCACTACACCACCGGGCTGCCCTGGAATTTTTTTTTTAACATAAATATTGTGAACCAAGTCCCCACCGCCCGCCCCCCCACACCCTGACTGAGAAAGTCTATCACCACGACACACAAACCTGCCTCTAGTTGGGCTTCAAAAAGCATTAGAACTTTATTAATCATGAGAGCATCTCTCTCTGTTTACAACTGCAAATATACATGCGTGTGACGTAATTTTCCATCTGAATGTATTGCTCAGGACAGTGGGCATCACTTCTAGGGTTCTCGTCATGGGCAGGAATGTCTGGAGCCCTTTCTATGCTCCTTTATCCTCCCCGCGGCCCTCTGAGGAAGGTCCTGGTTCCAGTCGTAGGATGGGGAACTGTGAGGCGGAAGTGGCTCAGACTGGAAGTGGTGGAGCAGGATTCAAACTCAGACCACAGGCTCCAGAGCTGCTGCTACCAGTGCATGGACACTGAGGATGGAGGGACCCCTGCTAGTGACTCTGTAGCCAAGGAGTGTGCTGCCTACCGGTTGGGACCACCTTGCAAGAGCCTGAAATTTCCTGTCTCAGAGAATAGCAACTCCTAAGGATTATCATTAATATCATTTTATAACCTAAAACGATTTACGCCCTAAGAAGCTTTTGATGTCGGCCTCCTAACAGCAGTCACTTTGGAGTTCTTAGAACATCATCCATGCGTGGCTGTGCTTCCACACGTTGGGTTTGGTGTTGCTGACCCACTGAGGCACCCGTTGGCCCAAAGTGGCAGCAGCTGTCCCGTGGTGGAGGCGGCATCCCACACTCTCCATTCACGTTTCCCCAGCGAGGCCTCTGCAGCCTGCTCTGAGACGCCCAGGAAGATTCCTTTCATCCCCCAGTGTGACTGTGAGCCTCAGGCGCTCACAGCTTCAGTGACTGCCTCCCACGAGGAAGGGGCTGCTCTCGGGCCCCTGGGCTCACTGCCCCCCGCACTGGTCACCCCACTGCTGGGGGAGAGGCGAGATGGGGTGCGCTCACCCCCCACGCCTTTCCACTGGTCTTGGTGCTGCGCTCACATCCGATCCACACGTGTCGGCGGATGCTGGACGTGGTGGCCCCTGCATCCCTTTCCCGGACAATGATGGGGCAGGGTGGGGCTGAACAGATGGGCTTCATTCTAGGACTGTGTCCCAGCCACCTGGAGAACGTGGGTCTCCCACCCTCACCTGCCACAAGCATTTTAAATTAGGAAACCTGTGAGGATAAGAAGACAGAATGAAAAGAATCACAGGCTTTTAAAAACTGAGATTCTGGGGTTAATACCACTGCTTGCCATTGTCAGGTCCCCCTCCTGAGCAGGGTCCGGCCACACCCCGGGGACTGAGAGCACCTCTGTTCTTGTTCTATTTAAAGGGGTCAGTCAAGATACTGTTCTCACTTTTATTTCCCTGCTAGCAGAAAGGGACACTTTGGGAGCTGTGAGGTGGCTCTGTGTCATCACGAGAGCAGCCAAAATTCTGAAACTGAAAAATTCCACAGAGCTGGCATGCTGAGGATGCTCAGGAAGCAGCAGTGGCCTCCGCAGCCGTTTTCCGTGTCTCCACGTTAATTTCAGATGACAGCTCGGGTGGAAACTTGTGGCTAAAACAAAGTGCAGCTTGTCGTCACCACTTCCAGCATGTCTTTGGTACCTGAGAATAAATCAGCAACAGGCAGCTTAGAAGGGGGGCCGCCTGCCTTGGAGGGGGATCTTTTGACTGGCGAGCAAGCAGCCTTACTACCTATCACCATTTGGAATTGAGAAACCTGTTTATAAGAAACATAACTCTCCGTGCAAAACTAGGCAAGTTGCTTTATGGATCCTTTTGGATATAAAAATTGCTGCAAATCTTATTGTCAGAAATGTTAACACCGATAATGTCATCGTGCCTTTGCAGAAGGCAGTGATGCTAGAATGTTTTGATGTATTTTTTTCCTTAAATACCTCCTCCTCGGAAGCGTTTGAACATCATGTTACGCGATCTCGTCTGCCTGCTCCTCGCCAGCTGCTTCCTTCCCCCCATCCCTCTGGAGGCTCCGCACTTGCACACTCTGAGGCCCCTTCTTCCACTTGTGTCGGATATAAAAGCAAAACTTAACGTAATGTGTCTTTGAAAAGTTTCAAGCAAGGTGCATGTATTGTAAAACACACAACTGTATTTTTCCCGAGTCTTCTCCCAAGGACAGTCTTTAGAGGGGTGACTTGCGCTGTATCCTTAGAGAAATGCTGCTGCTCCACAGAATGAATACAATAGATTTTTCTCATTCGAGCATCGTTTTGCCTCCAGAGGTAGACTGACGTCAGAACTGTGCTATATGTGCCCAGCCGTCGACAGCCAGGGCCGTCAGTCCCAGTGAGTGTGGGAAGTGGTTTTCCAGACGCCCCAGAGTCCCAGCTGAGGATGATGGGGGAGATGTGTTCAGGCCCTCACCTCCTCCAGCCGAATGCCTGGAATCCCGGAATGTGGCAGCGTGTCTGTCCCTGTCACTCACTCCCTGAGCCAGCCCAGCGGCTGTTAGTGGTGATGGAACACGGTGGTCTAGGGACGTGCTCAGGAGGCCAACTGCCTGTGTTCCCACCCAGCTGGCTTACCTTGGGCAAGTGACTTAGCCTCTCTGGGCCCCACTGTCCTTGTGTCATGTGGTTGCTGTGAGGAGTGAAGGAGATGCCGAGGCAACGTCTCAGAGGGCGCCTGGCACATGGCAAGTGCTGGCCGTTAGTGATGTTCTGTGCATGAACCTCATTTCAGTCCTGCTGCGTTTTCCCTCCCCCCTGCCAGAAGCACAAGGCAATTGTTCTCTGATATCTACTGTGAGAACCTGGTTGAGCTCCTGGAGCTTTGAAGAAGCAAGGTGTCCCATTGTGAGAGGGCCTACAGAGAGGGCCCTGTGTCAGGGAACTGCGGGCCGCCTTTAGGGTCTTAGGGTGGCCTCCAGCCAAGAACCAGCAAGGAGCTTGGCCCCTCCAACTTACAGCCAACAGCCTAAGTGAGATCGGAATTGGATCTGTCACCAGTCAAGCCTCCAGATGAGAAGCAAACCCTGGCCAACACCTCAACTGGGGCCTTACAGAGGACCCAGCTCAGCTGTGTCCAGACTCCTGACCCACAGAAACTGGGAGATATTGGTTTAAAAAAAAAAACCTGGATCCAGCCCTTCACACGTCCCTAAGGACGTGGATTTGTTTCCCCACAGTTGCGGCCCAGTCGAGCAGATCCCTGTGTGACTCCCTGCACCTGTGGCTTTCCTCTGGGGACGATCCTCTGTACCATCCCACTGGTTTTTCTCTTGTTCTTTCCTCTTCCTAAGTGCAGCCCAGATTGCTCCCGCAGGTGCTTCCCGGAGCATTCGAGTCTGTCTTTGGAGGCTGGCTGCAGCTGTCACCTCCACCTTGTCTGCAGGGTGTGTCGGGGGGCCCTTATTTGCAGTGCTTGCCCGTAAACGTGGTGTGAAGACTCCCACCATGGCTGATTCCAAGCTACCGACGTGAGAGCAGCCATCTCCCAGAAATCCTGGAGATGTAGCAGTGGGCTGGTAGGAGCCGCTCCCACACTCCACCATGGCACACGCTCCTGTGGATGTAGGCTGTGGACCCTTCCACTCCTCCAAGATGCTCCCGGGAAGCCACCAGGGATCAGACAAAACCTGGTACTACCACCAGCCCTCGTCCTTGTGGGCCTTCCCGGTGTGTTTGACATAGGCGATGGCTCCCCCAGCCCGGAACACATTTCCTCAGGCCCGGGGCTTGAAAGGGAGGGTCAGCATGCTCTGGAAGCTTATGCTGTGTTGGGAGGAAGGGACCAGAGTTCAGGCTGAAAGTCAAGGATGTTGCCAGGGTGGGGTGGGGTGACTGACCTATTCAGAGGGGAGGAGCATAAGAGAGATGTGGGGAGGGGCTGGGGGGGGGGCATGGTGTTCCCGGAGCTGAGGCAAGGCCCAGAGCAAGGGCGAGTCCTGCACGGAGCCCCACGGGCGGGTGGGCGTCAGCATGGCGCACGGGGCAACCGCCCTGCCAGCCCCACCCTCCCCAAGTGGTCCCTCTGGTTGGTGACAGTGTGCTGTCCGTAGGTATGTCCGTAGGTATGTCGTGGCGCTGGAGGTTCTGCGTTGCCTCAGAAAGTCCGTCTTTAATGAGACTGATGCTTCCTCTTGTCCTTGAGAGTCATTCCCATTTTAACGTAAAATAAAACCTAGGAATTAAAATTTTTTTCAGGTCAGTGGCATCCCGATCAAACCTTCCCTTTTTCTTTCTTTCCTCATGGCGATTATAAACTCACCTCCTTCTTAGTTTAGATCGAGAACATACTTTTTGAAGAATTTCTGAAAAATACACTTGAGTGTTTATTCCGCTGGTGTCTTTGCTTTCGATTTTAGTGAATCCAAGTAGTGATTGTCGTGTCGTCCCCCCCCCCCGCCCCCACCCCCGCCTCCCGTCTGTGGTGTTTCTAGTCCTTAAACTCTGCGATGAAGAACCTGTGCGAGATCCTGACCACGGACCCCGAGGGCGGGCCCGCCCGCATCCCGTTCGAGACGTTCTCCTACGTCTACCGGTACTTGTCCGGCCTGGACTCAGAAATCCCCGCGGCCGACACCGAATCCTATCTTGCCTCTTTGAAGGAAAACATGTAAGTCTCAGCGCTGCCCGAATTCAGGTGTATTGACCATTAGAGAACTCCTTTCCCTCCCCTCCTCTTTTCTCAGACGGCTTTGTCGCAGCTGACTCTGCCTGTGGGAGTGGCACTCGGGGATGTCTCCAGGTGGCGCTGAGGGGGGAGCCCGCGGGAGGCGGCTCCTCCTCCGTGTGGTCCAGGGCAGTTCCGGGTGCAAGGCTGGCTCTCTCCACACTTCCGAGGGAGAAGATTTATCCTGTCTTTAAGAAAATTTTATCCAGAATTTATCTTGATTCTTAAATACAGTATCGCAAATGGTTTAAAATTATGGCATGCTAAAAAAGATAGAATTTACTTCTCAACAAGGAGACACAGAAATGGGTTCCTGCAGGAGGATGGGGGGACGTCAGTCGTTCCTGAACATTTCTCTGTATGGCTTTGGGCCCTGCTGTGCCTCCTTGGGGGGTGCAGAGGAAGAGCAGCCCTGGGGGGCAGGTGGGGCGGTGGTGGCAGGGGAGGGAGCTGTAGCCCAGACCCCTAGATGAGGCTCTTCCCAGGGTAGTGACGGTGCTGCCCAGGTGGTCAAGCCCAGGAAGCTGGTGATGACAGGGAAGGGGGCTGTCAGTGAGGCTCCAGCCCAGAGAGAAGCTGGGCTCCCCAGGCCTTCCGGCACCTCCCAGGCCACCACCTCCCAAGTGCCCGCGTGAGCAATTGTCCCCAAGCCCCACAGCTTTCATCCTGAGCTGTTTGCCCACAACACGCGTTTATAGAGCGCCTGCTGTGTGCCAGGCACCGTCCCAGGGCCAGGATGCAGTCGGTGGGTCTGGTGACACCCTGACCCTGTGGAGCTGTCAGGACAGACAGCAAACAGACACTGCAGACATGCAGATACTAAGGCAGCAGGCAGGGTTGAGGGCTGTGAGAACAAGAGGCCAGAGACACGAGAGAGTCGGAGAGTCAGGAATGAAGGGTGGTCCCGGAGGACGTGCCCCCCTCACCTGACTCAAGAAGGCCCCTATACTATTGTCAATGAGCGTTCATAGACAAGACGGTTCTTTGAGTTTTATTGGACCAGCTTTTTAAATAGAAGGATGCTTTTGTTACCCTAGTGACTAGAACTTGAGTTGTCAGTAAAGAAAAATCCATAAAGACAGTACTGATTTTTTCAGCTAGCAATAAATACCCATTTTTGTACAAGGAAAAAGAATGCTTTGTGTTTAGAAGTAAGATTTACTGATTAGAGACGGTAAATAATCAATTTTTTTTAAGTAAAACTTTTTAATTATTTTGTGTTTCATAAAAATTTTATTGTGTGCTGTGAGAAATTACTAATAAGCGTCTTTATCTGTTTCCAATTTAGAAGCACTAGAAAGTCCGGCCTGATAGCCCTTTCAGATTTCTTCGTCCTGAAGAGGAAATTCTAGAAAACTCTGAAAAGAACTCAGAAGGCATAGGGCATTAATTCAGAGAAGAACCCATTTTAATGTCAAAACAGTGCTTTTAAAAACCTTGGCACCAAATACAACTTGTCCTTAACCACATCCATACGTAGTGTGAGTTTTTCTTGTAATGGAAATTTAGTGTGACCAATGTGCCATGGGGCCTATTTCATTTGTCTGCACTGTGTTCTTAAATGTAAGGCATTCATAGCAGTAAAATGTAAGGCATTCATAGCAGTAAAATGATCTATTTGAGTAAAACAATCTATTTTGATGCTACAGAGCAGGGAGGGGGGATGGGCAGTTTAAAGTGGCAGTTCTTTCCTTCTTTCAAAGCTCTTGGCCGGCCCGAATGAGGATGCTCTTGCTCCCACCCCTAAGACTCCTGAGGAAGAGAGTCTTCTGCTGAAGCTGGACCTTTTCTGTGGACGGTGGGCCCAGGGGCCTTATGCTCGCTGGAAGAGCATCTGTGGCCGGGAAGCAGACCAGACAATCTGTGGACCAGCACTGCGTCCGCTGCCCAGAAATAAGCCACCCAAGATCCTTCGTTTGCTTTCTTTATATGAAGTCTTCAGAATGCCGATGCCAAGTGAAACGTCTTACATTGTTTTTCTGAGCCCCTGGGATGCTTTGGCTCATTGGTCTCTGCAGATTGGCCACCGTGCTAACAAGTTTATCAGGTTCAAAGACTTGTGAAAACCCCAAGTTATGAGAAATACTTTGCTCTTATCTTAGCAAGTCTCCCATTTTTTGCCCTGAGACGTACAAAGTATATTTTTCATCTAGACACTAGACACTAAACTACCTTATTTGAGATGACCATTTGCCTGGACTTTTGGTCACCCTCCCCTGAATAGACAATGTATAGAGATTATTCATAAAATTACAAGGAACTTTTCAGAGTTGGGGTTTCAAAAGCTTTTACAGTTTTTAAATTACTTGAAACCTTCTCAAAACTTGACTCCCCAAAGAATTTAAATACTTTTTCCCCTAACTATGATGCCTCAATACCTGGGAAAGGAGGAAAGAAACCTTAGATTTCGCACAAGTGCAGTTGGGAGCCATGTCGCGTGGGTAGCTATGCCAGGGGCAATGTGCTGCAGCAAAAAGGGCACAGAGAAGACCCCACACAGACATGCTCTCCACTCGCCAGAGCCCCGATGGAGGGCACTTAAAGGGCTTTGTGTTTTTAACCAAGAACGTCAGCCACCTCAGGAGAGCACACACGTACTAGAGCGCCCAAGACGTTGGCAATTTGACAAGAGACACTGGCCTGCTGTCCGTCAGGAGACAGAAAAGGGAAAATTTCATATGAGGAATTAGCAGCCACTCCCCTCAGAGGGGACAGTGAAGGACTGAGGACGCAGCAGAGCCTCCCTCCACCCCTTCCCAGGAGGCTGCACCCGGCACCACAGGATGTGGCGCAGTCGGCAGACCTGACTCGGGGCTGCTGGCAGTTTGCATGGGCTGAGCTGCCCGGAGGGCCCCTGGGTGCAGTGACACCCACAGCCGTCAGAGGTCCGCCCGTTCCTGGGTGAGTGGAAAGTGAGGACCGAGTGCCGTCTGCCTCTCTGGCCTTGCCTGTCCCTCCAGTGTTAGACTGTTGTCAAAGTCGAGCATGAACCAGCTGGCAAGGAGCTTTGAGGTGTAAAGGCCACAAAGAAACTTGTTTGAACATGCATGTCCTTGGGGAATATTGTTCCCATGAACTCTTCCTGGGGAACCTGATAGAGAAAGAGTTTCAGACAACCAAAGAGATTGGAGAGGCCAACGTAAGAACCAGTTGGGAGCACTGAATATATATTTCTCTGTAGAACTGGGTGAAATGATGGTTAGACGGGATGGCTCTAGTGTATAACGTCTGTATGCCCTGACAATGTAGGTACATAGCATCTGTCAAAATTCAGAGACTGGAAAGTCCATATGAAAAGAATATTTGCTGATTGTCATATAATTATTAACTGGAAGTAAAATGACGTTCATATCAGATGTAGGGGGGATGGAGAGGGAAGAAGAATTTATTAGCAGATTTGGATATCCATCATAGTAGAGAACTGACACACAGGAGCTGAAAAAGAAGACTAAGGGTATTATATACAGATATATATGGTAGTCATTATAGCAAAGATGCAAACCTTCCTAAATATCAGTATAAATAGATGGAGAGAACAAGGCTAAACCATAAAATTAAAAATGTTTACATATACGAAGAGGGAGGGAACAGGATGGAGGAGCCAGAGCTTGAAGCTAAACTTTGAATGAACCTTTTTGTTGATTTGATTTTGGAATCCTGTAAATATTTTACATAATTATAAAACAAAATTACATTAAAAAAAAAGAAATCCCTGAAAATCGAAAGTAAAATGAAACCAACGACCTTAATTTTGTATCCAGTTAGTGGCACAACCACAGGAACTATTCCAAATGGCTTTAGAACACAATAATGTGAATATTCCTGGTGGAACATACAGAGACAAAAGTTCCAAAAAAGTTAAAAATCCCAAACTGTTTTCAGTAATCAGTGTTGGTAATAATGGGATAAATGAGTAACTCCTTTGGTGTCAGCAAGAACCTGGATTTTTGGCATGGAAGAATGAAGATATAAAGTAAAGTTAAGTCAAAATCCTGTAGTCCTGATTTCTAACTGGAAGCATCTTATAAAGTCATAATCTCTGTCCACTGAAAAGGCCTAGAAACCAGGACCCCTCTAGCCATTAGGGAGCACAGCTAATAGCCAGATTGTGGTTCCTAAATACCTCTGTCCACGGAAAGGACTAGGACTCCTTGAAACAGGACTGATTCTGGGGCTTGGGTAGGGAATGTTTGAGGTAAGGCCCAGAACATACTGTCTTACTAGAAACGGGCTGTAGAAGACTTCTAGGTTCACATACCACAGCCTCGGGCATCAAGCTGAATAAACTTCCACTGACCCTGCTCTTCAGGGATCCATCCCTTTGATGGTCCTCCAACGAGTTGGAAGATTCCTTGCCATTCTGGCTGGCTCCACTGGGTTACTCCATTTTCCTCTAAAAATGTGCTCTCTATAGTAGACTCCTCTTCAGGAAGGAGAGGGTCCCTCCCGTGTAATCACTCTCCAGGGCCAGGAGCCCGTTCTTGTCCTGGTTCCTGCCTGGGCCAGCCACTTCATGGAGGCCCCTGCTGCCTGGCCCGGCTGGAAGGCTGGTGCTCAGCCATCAGTGTCACCAAGTCAGCCTCAGAGAGAGCTTCTCCTGCAAGGTGCCCCTCCAGGGGCTGAAGGACCCAGAGTGGGCCCTGCCTGAGTTGACCAGGACAAGGACAAGGCTTTAGGGCCTGCTTGCTAACAAGTGTCTGTTCATTTCATAGAATTTGGAATGAGACTTGCTTTCATTGTAACAATCTTGTGGGGAGGTTACAGGAGAGGGACATAGAACCCCTGCCTCCTCCTGTCACTGGAGGCCACCCCCTTAACCAAAAGAACCTCATCAAATTGCTGACCAGCCAAACTGTCTTAGGTCAAGAAGATAAATTTGGATGGAGTTTTATAAGGCTAAGAATAAATGAAAATTGTCATAAATAAACTTGCTCATATGGACATCTGAACTCAAAAAAGATAAATTGGGAGGTACTTTTTCAGTCTATCAAAAAAGCATATGGCGGCCTGCCCTGTGGTATTCTGTGTACTCTGCTTTGGTGGCCTAGGTTCGTGGGTTTGGATTCTGGGCACAGACCTATACCACTTGTCAGCCATGCTGTGGTGGCGACCCACATGCAAAACGGGAAGACTGGTAGAGATGTTAGCTCAGGGCAAATCTTCCTCAGTAAAAAAAAAAAAAAATTAAAAAAATTAAAAATCACATGGTATTTCAGTAGTGAAAGGGAATGAAGTAGGTGAACAGATAAACTGTGGTCCATCCAGACAGTGGAATATTGTTCAGCGCTAAAAAGAAATGAGCTCTCAAGCCATGAAAAGACATGGAGGAAACGTAAGTGCATATTACTTGGTGAAAGAAGCCCATGTGAAAAGGCTGCATAATAATATGATTCCATCTATATCACATTCTAGAAAAGGCAGAACTATGGAGACCGTACAGATCAGTGGTTGTTAGAGGTGGTTGGGGCAGGGGAGATGAATAGGAGGAGCCCAGAGGATTTTTAGAGCAGTAAAAATACTCTGTCTGATGCCATAATGATGGATCCATGTCATTATACATTTGTCCATATCCATCAAATGTACAATATCGAGAGTGAACTCTAAGGTCAGCTATGGACTCTGGGTGATAATGATGTGTCTGTGTAGGGTCATCAGTGTAATAAAAGTACCACCTGATGGGGGATGCTGCTGGTGGGGGAGTCTGTGCTGCATCTGCACACAGGGATGTGGAATGAGCGACTAATACATGTGACAACATGCGTGTGGTCGAAACAGTGCCTCTTGGTGCACAAGCTCTGGCCATTTGTCCTTTATCTCAAAAGGTGGGTCTTTCTTAAGAATGACTTTGTCGTGGAACTAGTAATGGCATTCCCGTAAAAAAATTCTAGTCTCCGAAATTGTTTTGGTCTGATTTAAGGCCCCGTGAGGGCTCTAAAGTTCAAACAAAAAGAACTTGACACAGAAACATGCACTTCCTTTGTCTAGTTGATGCCCCTTGAACACATATGTCATCTCGGTGGGGGGAGGGGGAGGCGACGAAAACACAAGTTCTTTTTCTGAGGGAAAACGCACATCTCAACAGCCAAATCCAAACTCGGCTTCCAGAATATTCTTTAGAGTGGACTCTGGATCAGCAGGGGTGGAAATGGATGTCCACCCAATCCTGTCCCCTTAATGCTGGCCCACTGGCTGTCCCAGCAAGGGATATGAAACAGCCCCTTAGATCCGACCCCACACTGAGATCCTGATGCTCTGCCCCGTCCTTCCCGAAACGCAATGTGGGGTCTTCCTCTGGGTCACTCTCAGCTCAGCTCCAGCCCCAGAGGCTGTGCCTCTCTGTTGATGGCTACCTCTGGGGTCCCAAGTGCCCAGAGAGGCCGAGTTCTGTCAAGGGTGGAAAATGAACTAACTTGGTAATTAACAAAGCGTAAAGGGGGAAGCACTTTCCTGTCCCATTTTTGTCGGGGAGCCCCCAGTATCTTGTTCTGGCACCTAGTTAAGGTACCACGCTGCTGGGTGCCAACACTGGATGGTTCGCTCTTGGTCAACTAGCTCCCCCACGTTCCCACAGAGGGCCTCGCCTCATTAAAGAGAACGCTCCTATTCTTGTGCTGGTTTGGACTCTTCCTGTGGCAGAGATGAGTCATCTTTATTCTCCTTCATACAGCTATTCTTTTGATAATAGCCGTAGGAAGTTTGGCTTTCCAACAGACTGTTAACTGTCTTTGGGGGAGCTCACTCAAATGGTTTAATTAATAACTACAAGCTTTGTTGCAAGTTCCATTAACTAATCAACGTGTTGGATCAAATAAACCGTTCTAGGGACTGGAATGTTTGAACACACAAGCTCCAGAGAGGACCAGCACAAACACTCCTCTGCTGCAGGGAGACTGGAGAGGGGGCCACGAGGACCCGAGCGGGAGGGTATGAGGAGACGCACTGTGCACACACGCAGGGAGGAGAGAGATGGCCCCGTGTGGATTCAGCCCCTCAAGAGACAGAAGATTTTTCCAATTAAAGTCACTTAAAAAATAGACTTTGACAATGATGGAGACTGAACATTAAAAAGAAAATCTCTGGCATTTGTGAGGCGTGGGTTTGGGATATACCTGCTTTCCTCTGGCTGCAGGGGAGCGGGTTTGGGGAAAAGCAGGATTGGAAAAGCCACCAGATACAAATCAGCCGATGGTGCCTTTAACCTTATGACTTCACAGTTGTCTGTCCCACTGAAATGACCATCTGAAGTCCTTGTCCCTGTAGCAGCACCCAGCAAATTATTTGGTTTTCAGCTTCACTCTGTTTGTCAGCTTCTGTGACTTTCACCTTTAAAGAAAGTGTTTGTTTGTTGTTGTTTTTGGTTGGCGTTCGTGATGTCTAAGAGAAAAGGCGCAAGTAGAGAGGACTCTGGAAATATGCCATCACCTGGCAGGATGGAGTTCCGAGGCAGTTGGGCTACAAACTACTCATTTAATTTACAATTACTTATTATTTCCTGGTGATCCCTGGCATACCTGTGAATTCTTGTAAAGTGAGAAAATCTAGCTTTACAAATGTAGTGAGATTTTTCTGTATACTCAGCTTAACAATTAATGAAGAATGAATATATCCATTAATCATTTATTGAGTTTGATTTTTGTATTTCCATAATATGAAGCCTATAATTTTTTTTCAAACCTTAAACACTTCCAAAGGTCCTTGAAACAGTCGTGGGCCTGAGGCTCTGTGCCTTCACTTTGAAAGAGTGAAAGGCATTCAGACGCTCCCTAAGGAAAATCCCAACTCCATTACCTCGTTTTGCAGAATTAATTCTGCTTGGTTATCACAGTGCATTCTCAGCAGAACCCTGTGAGGTGGGCTGCAGAAGCAGAATTAACCCCATTTTCTAGGGGGTTAAACCAGAACTAAGAGCTGGGGGGCATCCTAGGTGCCCCTCCTGCCCCAGAATTCAGGCCCACCCACCTACCCTTGTAACCGCCCTCCAGGACCAGTTCAACTGACCCCTTCTTATCAACAGAGTAATTGAGAGTGGTTTTTCAGGAACTGAGACCCCTTGTCCAGTTCAGGCCAGTTGAGACTGCCAACCCATCAACTGGGCCTGTGCAAATGCTTGATAAGTGACCTTTTTGAGGTCAAGGAGCTAAAAACTCCATCCTCAAATCACAGTAATGCCGCCATTTTGTAAACATGCATCCTGTGAAGAGGCATGAAGCTTGACCATGCTTGTGCAGAGCATCAGTTCCTCTCTTCTCACCTCCAGTCATCTAGCTCCGCACTTCAGACCGCCCTCCCCTTCGTCCCATGAATTGTGCCCCAAGCCCTGGATCAGGGAGACAGATCTGAGAGCATAGCCTCCTGTCCCCTTGTAAATCGATCTCACAAAATAAACCTGATTTCTTTTCCCCAAAGCTGACGCCATAATAATTAGCTCTTTTTATGTGCATCAGACAAGAGTACCATAATTTTGTGAGGTAACATCCTCACCCTCTGTCCCTCTCAACTCCCTCCACATCAACCACCATCTCTTGTATCTGCCCCACATGCCTGGGGCTGGCTTTCCATGAGGTCAGAAGACCCAGCAGGTAAAATAAACTGAAGGGTGTTATGTGTTAGCGTGCAGTCCTCCCTGAAGCCTCACGGACAGCTGGCATGTAACCCACTAAGCTGGAGCAGGGGTCCCATACCCTCCAGGCTGAGCTGGAGCCGGTTGACCTGGGATAAAGCATAGCTCCCTCTGGGCACCTGTTCCAGTTAGTCACCGCCCCAAACCCCAACTCCATGCTCGAATCTAATGTAAAGTGGAGTTAATAGGGACATGCTACCAGGATGACCAGACAGTGGATACCAGTGCCCTGGCAAACGCCGCCCAGTGGGACCTCAGGAACTTTTGGGGTGGAATAACATTCTGGCTTAGATGACAATGCATTTATCTAGCACCTATTAAGCCCAGACCCTCTGCTAAGGGCTTTACGGCTCACCGAATTCTCACACCAGCCGTGGGAGGTGGGTACTATCCCCACCCTCGTTTTACGGATAAGGACACAGTACCTTGCCCAAGGTCATTCAGGTGTGGAGCGGCGGGGCTGTGGCTAAACCCTCGCAGTCTGCCTTCAGAGCCTGGGGAGCCCCTTCTCCAAGTAAAAGTCGAGGAGGAATGTGGCTCGTGGGGAGGGGACAGTAATGAGCAGGAGAATTCCTTTCTTGATTTTCAGTTGGAAAATTGCGTTCAGTGGGCCACTTGTTAGGGGCACTTGAACAGGGTTTGAGAGAAAGGCTTCACAGAATACTGTTTACCAAAGTGTGGGGAGGCCCACGAGGGAGGGTGCAGGGCCCTGGGCCAGCTGTGGTGGGGGCTTTAGGACCCTAGGCCTTGAAGGGTAGTGGGGAGCTGTCACGGGGGTTCAGAGAGATGGCTGGAGCTGGGGAGAGGGCCCCTGGCAGGAGCTGTGGGTTTGGTAGAGGGGTAGCCAACCCCCGGGACCCCACAGGGAGGCAGCTGGGGGAAGAAATACCCCCCTCATTTACCTTCCACTCTGATCTTCTGCCAGGGCCTTGTGCTGGCCAAGCACAGCTAAAGCCAGAGAGAAGGAAACCTCAAGATACAACCATTAGCCGCCGCCTTGAGCTCAGAGCAGGGCGGAGCAAGGAGAGGAATGCTCAGGACGCACAGGTGGAAAATATCCAGCACACAATCATTTGTGTGAAAATGGGTGGAGGATTCATATGTATATCTCTGCATATTCATATGCACCCTTATAGATGCATAAATTATTTCCGGAATGAAACCCACACAAAGGAAACTGGTGGAAAGTTCTTAGAAGGAGAAGTGGCCTACTTTCCATTGTATAACTTGGAATCTGCCATTTGATTTTTTCCCCTGTGTATTTATTATATATTCAATCCATCCACGAGTCTTCAATAAGAATTGGT